CCCACCTCCACTCCTCCCCCGTCTTAGAAGCTGGCAGGACCTTTCTGCTTTCGGGAACTTGAAGACCCTGCTCACTTCTGGCCGGAACTACAAGGATCGCGACCTCAAGTATGTTCTCTTTCTTATCATGTGTTGATCCAGTTCGAGGGGGGAAAGAAGCTTGGGGGGCTCCCCGGAATCAGTCAGGAGTCTCACTGCAAAGAAGTTTGCCTGTAGGCACCGTTACTAGTAAGTGTCAAGTCTGTTGATTGTTTCAGAATCGACAATTGTCTCAGACGATAAAGTGGGGGCGTGGTTTGGTTTCTCAACTTTCTCCACCCTCCAAGACGCACATTTAAGCCGCGCCGTGCACTGTGCACAGTGTGCGCCGCGCCATAGACCTAGCACCTTGCGCCCTTAATTCAAGGTCAGTTCACTTAAGTTCAGTTAGATGAGTTAAAGCGCTACGGTCTAGTTCCCCAAAGAGGGCGTCCTCTGCCTGCCTTCAACATAATGGAAGCCATTCTTAAAACACACTTTTGCCTCATATCCTGCAAAAAATCATTGTTAACACCCACAGTTTTGGTGTCACCTCAACATTTAAGCCATGCCCGGCTGAGGTCTCACCTTCCGGAATGCCAGGCAGCTGCTTCCCATGAGCCGCGACTGCCCCTGCGCGGTCAGAGCTGAGAACGTTGGAAAAGCAGAAAGCTGAAGCTTGCGGTTTTTCATCGGCGGTATGAGTCTCCTGTCTCAATGGCTTAGGGCCCTAAGCCGACGGATCATTGTTGCGGTTTCGGTATGGACCACAAAATCCGGAACAGCGTGTCGGGTGTTTGTAGGCCTTTGGGCCACCGGATTTGAACTTTCAACCCATCAGTGCCCAACCCCCGAGAGTATCCCCGGAGCATCCTCGGCGTGCAGAACCGTTGAGTCTTCCCGGTTCCCCAGCCCCTGAAGCTGCGACCCTGCAGCCTGCAACATCATGAGCCTTTAACGTGTTGATGCGTCGTTCCGGTCTTTGCGTTGGATAAAGGTGGGCCTCAGAAATTACGACTGAAAGATCCGGTCGTTCAAAGCCCGACCGACCCCTTAACAATGCAGGGAGACCTGTGTGCCAATCTTCAGCTTCCATACCACATTGATATGCTGCCCATAAACTGATTGCAACTTCTGAACCTCCCGTGTGCCAGGCGAGCAGGCTCAAATCAGGCCGCGTGCTTGAGCTTTGGCGCTAAGCTGCATTGCTGCAAGCAAATTGGAGTACTAGAAGGAGATGGGGCCAGACATCAACACAGATCCTGCTGTATCAAGAAATCACCATCCCGCAGGTTGCATGCGTGCGTTTTTCGAAAAGGCACAGCCTTCGGTCCCATGCCACCCACACAGCAGCTGCCGAATTTTGCCATGTCGCAATCTGCCACCGGCGCCGAAACTGCAGGCGGCAACCTAACATGTTTGTGTGCAAGGCGTACGTGTATCAATGCAGATGAGGCTTTGTCGAAAGGAAAATGGGAATCATCATTAAGCCGTAAGCTTGAGACCGCGTGAACCTGGCAGCTCAGCAACCACTTCGCTGTTGCGAGCCAACATCCCTGTTCAAGATCGGGTGGGACGGACTTTTGTGAATACGAGGTTCAGGATTTGGGATTCTAGGGTCCTCAACATGTCGGTTCGTGAGGCATATCCGCTACTGGACGCAAGAGGATTCTGGTCGTAGTCTTCAGCCAAAGCCTTTTCAGTCTTTTTGCGTGTGCACTGAGGGGAACCCCAGCCCGCGCTTCCCCCAATCCCCCCGAACCCCCAAGCCGCAGACCCTTGACCCTATAAACCTAAACCCTAGACATCCCTAAGCCCAAGCCCTAAACCCTAAACCCTGAACCCTAAAACTCGTGAAAACCCTTCCGAAGCCTGGTTCATGTGGTCCCTCCAGGAGGAGCTGTGACGGGAGCGCCAGGCGCGCCTTTGAACTTGCCTGGTTTTTGAATCGGAGGGGTTGGGAGAGCGGGTGATGCGAGCTTTTTGGGTTTTGTGCCGCCCTCATACGCAGTGGTAGGCTCCTCAAAAGTAGTGGATGGTCTTTTCGTTCCCAGATTTGTTTTCTTACATCTACCACACGTGACAGACGCCTACATTCCCCCAACATTTTGAAGCGGCCCCCTTCAAACCAGCAATCCATCAAGAGGCGGACGCCAGTTGTGAGAGCTTGAGCCTGGGCGGAAGGTGGAGGTGCTTGGGGTCTCTTGCGCGGTTTCGGGTGTTTAGGGTCGTGGGTTTAGGGTTTAGGGTTTAGGGTTTAGGGTCGTGGGTCTTAGAGTGCTCTGATTCTGATCATTGTTGTCGCATTGTGCACGTTCGGGGTCCTCGATCATCCTTCCAGCTCCCTCCAGTTGTGATCTTTCTCATTGGAGACTCCGAAGCTGGACTCATGCATCACCAAGCCACTGAGGAACACCGAGCTTCTTAGCTTGAAGCGAGACTTCCCGTGCGGTGCAAGATCTAGAAGCTCAGCTGCTGGACAGCAACAGGATGCGGGGTCTCCGTTCAAGGGTTGAAGATCCAGGTTTAAAGAGCCCAAAAAGGGTGTTGGGGTGTTGTTGACATGATGGTTGCCCTGCCTGCCCATTTAGCGGGTATTGGCTCCATACCAGGACCGTCCCACGTTCAGAGCCGCTCTTAACACGTTTGGGCGCTCAGGGTCCAGGGGAAGGAAGCTTCTCTCCATGCAGCCTGTGTCGTGTTGCGTTAGAAACGGTGTGCCATATTTCTGGCCCATGTCCAACTGTAATCGCTGGCGCGCGTCGCCTCGCCAGCCAGGCTGGTCCAACCCGGGGTGTAGCGCGCACAACGGTTCTAGAAGGGGTCCCAGAAAAAAGTCCCAGCGAGGGCTGCCAACAGGGGCAGTCCAGCCTCTGCTTGGGCAGGTCCCAGAAGGCGGGGGAAGAACAGCAATTTTTCAGAACGTTTCTCATTCAGGGGAAGGGTTGGGAAAGGGAAGGAGACCAGATCTCGGGCTGTTCTAGAGTAGCCCTCGATTTGTGCCAGGATAGTACCGGAACAGTAGGCGTGACAAGGGAAGAAACGCCGTGCAAGCGTAGAAAGAGTCAATTGCCTCAAGGTGTATATATGGATTTTCATCAAGGCTTTACAGTGCCAAGTAGGTTTGTACGGAAGGCGATCACTGCGACTTGTATCATTGCCTGGATCGGCTGTCGGAGTTGTGGGGTCGTACAGTCCCGCTGACTACACATGTTGCAAGTGCCCGGGACAGTACATCGACTTTGACACTGGTAGGGGTACGGCCTGGCAGAAGCCAGTTGGGCTTTGCCTACGCGATGACGAGCTATTTGAGGCCAAAAAGTGGCTGATGAGCCAAGTCTGATGGCGATCCCCAGGTTCAGTTGGAGGGTTTTGGGGTGAGTGAAGCATCTGCCGCCCAGGCAACGTGCTCTGCAAGAAGAGCTGGAGCAAGAGCGCGAGGCCTGCAGCGGCGCTCGCTGCAGTATCGAGAAGTTGCAAAGCAAGCTGCTTGCCTGCACCGGCCCCAACATTTCCCGACTGTGTGTGAAGGACGCTGGCCACAAATACTATATGTATTATTCGGCCGCGCCAGCCGAGAAGTAGTACCGAGAAGTAGAGCAATGTCCCGAAGAGGTTGCGTTTGGTGACGGATTCGGGCTGGTTTAGTGGTGCCCAGTCTAATGGATTAGTGGAGCAGAAATTGTTTAATGGTTTAGTTGGCTAGGGGTTGTAGGGTTGCGGACAGGTTGCCATCCTTATACAGCAACCGCACTCAACACAACCCTAAACCGCTACATCCTTCAACCGTGCACCAAAACCTTCACCTTCGAATCTCCACCACATGACACCCCAACCAAACTCCTTTCAAACCCCCAATTGTGCTTTTTTGGGACTTAGTTTGGGTAGTCAGGGTTGAAGGTGAGTATAAGAATGACGGCAGGTGCAGCAGAGCCGTTTAAGCCAGACCCTGGGAGGATCACAAACATGGATCTTCTTCGAAGACTTAAGGTTTCTTATGAATTACTTCAGAGTTTCAATAGCTGCATTTGTATGGGCACCAGGCATCGGATGCCAGCAGCCAGCACGAGGCCAGCCCGATGTTGCTCCTGGTCGCGTTCGTGTGAGTCCTTTTCCAGGGCAAGCAGCCATCGGCCGACAACGTGACGGGCTATGCCTACATGGGCGAGACCATCGACGGCACGACCTCGGACCAGCCCATGTGCTTCCGCGGCAGCCCTAAGAACGGCTAGGCACAGACAGGTGATACCAGGCATATGTTTCTTTCCTGACGGCAGAAAACTGCTTCGGGAAAAGATGAGCGTGAACAAGGGTTTCTCTCAGGAGGCCGATGTACTTAGACTCAGCATAAACTGCAGATGAAGAGCACGCACCGAATGTATTGCTGTCTGTGAGTATTGTGAGTGTTAGCTGCTTGCAGAGGTTTTTTTAGGCTCGAGGAGGGCCCGCTTCTCAGGTTGCCGCCATGGCGCGCTCCACGGCACTGCTGAAGGCGGCAGTGGTGGCCTGCGCGCTGCTGGCCTTGAACCAGGCCTTCGTGGCGCCGGGTTCTAGCCCGAAGCTGCGAGGTCAGGAGGCAGCGGTGGCCGGTGCCGTGCTGGCCGGACTCCCGGCCACGCCTGCCCTGGCAACGGACCAGGCATCGGATGCCATCAGCCAGCAAGAGGCCATCCTGATCTTTCTCCCGATCTTGTTCGTGTGGGTGCTGTTCTTGGACTGGGAGGGCAAGCAGCCATCGGCCGACGACGTGACGGGCTATGGCTACATGGGCAAGACTATCGACGGCACGACCCCGGACCAGCCCACGTACTTCCGCCGCAGCCCTGAGAACGGATAGGCGCAGACAGGTGAGGGAGGTTCCTGAAGACAGAACCTGCTTCGGGAAAAGACATAGCCAGGTGACGCTTGTTTTTTTGTTGTTTCTTTGAGTTTTCACAAGGGGTCGATGTAGTTGATGTCAAACATTCGTCATATGATTTCATATGCAGCTGAAGAGCAGGTTGTCCGTGTCCATTGCGATTGTTATCTGCTTGCGGAGACTTTTTGGCTTGAGGAGGGCCGCTTCTCAGGTTGCCGCCATGGCGCGCTCCACGGCACTGCTGAAGGCGGCAGTGGTGGCCTGCGCGCTGCTGGCCTTGAACCAGGCCTTCGTGGCGCCGGGTTCTAGCCCGAAGCTGCGAGGTCAGGAGGCAGCGGTTGCTGGTGCCGTGCTGGCCGGACTCCCGGCCACGCCTGCCCTGGCAACGGACCAGGCATCGGATGCCATCAGCCAGCAGGAGGCCATCCTGATCTTCCTCCCGATCTTGTTCGTGTGGGTGCTGTTCTTGGACTGGGAGGGCAAGCAGCCATCGGCCGATGACGTGACGGGCTATGGCTACATGGGCAAGACCATCGACGGCACGACCCCGGACCAGCCCACGTACTTCCGCCGCAGCCCTGAGAACGGATAGGCGCAGACAGGTGCCGGGCACACATTTGCCAGGCAGGTTCCTGACGATGGAACCTGCTTCGGGAAAAGACACCGCAAGGCGCTACTTTCCTTCAAGTTTTCGACAGGAAGTTCATGAATTCGGAGTCAAACTGTTCACACACGCACCGAAGGTATTGCTGTCTCTGAGTATTGTGTGTGTTTGTTGTTTGCAGAGGTTTTTTGGGCTCGAGGAGGGCCGCTTCTCAGGTTGCCGCCATGGCGCGCTCCACGGCGCTGCTGAAGGCGGCAGTGGTGGCCTGCGCGCTGCTGGCCTTGAACCAGGCCTTCGTGGCTCCCGGTTCTAGCCCGAAGCTGCGAGGTCAGGAGGCAGCGGTGGCCGGTGCCGTGCTGGCCGGACTCCCGGCCGCGCCTGCCCTGGCAACGGACCAGGCATCGGATGCCATCAGTCAGCAGGAGGCCATCCTGATCTTCCTCCCGATCTTGTTCGTGTGGGTGCTGTTCTTGGACTGGGAGGGCAAGCAGCCATCCGCTGACGACGTGACGGGCTATGGCTACATGGGCAAGACCATCGACGGCACGACCCCGGACCAGCCCACGTACTTCCGCCGCAGCCCTGAGAACGGATAGGCGCAGACAGGTGATGCCAGGCGCGCGTTTTCCAGAGAGGTTCCTGACAAGAAGCCTCTTCAGGATTTCATGGCCATGAGTCACTTGAATCTTGCGGTGAGTTGTGCAAAGAGGTTGCATAGAACTGAGAACTGGTCGAATCGCGCAGGAATCTCTTTGTCAAGTTGCTCACAGGAAGTCGATGTAGTTGATCTCAAACATGTCGCACATCTACTGCAGCTAAAGACCACGCACGGAATGTATTGCTGTCTGTGAGTACTGTGAGTGTTTATTGCTTGCAGAGGTTTTTTGGGCTCGAGGAGGGCCGCTTCTTAGGTTGCCGCCATGGCGCGCTCCACGGCGCTGCTGAAGGCGGCAGTGGTGGCCTGCGCGCTGCTGGCCTTGAACCAGGCTTTCGTGGCGCCGGGTTCTAGCCCGAAGCTGCGAGGTCAGGAGGCAGCGGTGGCCGGTGCCGTGCTGGCCGGACTCCCGGCCACGCCTGCCCTGGCAACGGACCAGGCATCGGATGCCATCAGCCAGCAGGAGGCCATCCTGATCTTCCTCCCGATCTTGTTCGTGTGGGTGCTGTTCTTGGACTGGGAGGGCAAGCAGCCATCGGCCGATGACGTGACAGGCTATGGCTACATGGGCAAGACCATCGACGGCACGACCCCGGACCAGCCCACGTACTTCCGCCGCAGCCCTGAGAACGGCTAAGCTAGGCAAGTGTTTCCAGGGAGGTTCCTAACAAGAAACCTTCAGGAGTTACATCACTACGAGTCACGGACACTTGATTCTTGCTGGTGAGTTGTGCCAAAGAGGTTGCAGAGAAGTGAGAACAGTTTGAATCGCGAAGGAATCTCTTCATTAACTTGCTCACAGGAAGTCGATGTAGTTGATCTCAAACATGTCGCGCATCTACTGCAGCTAAAGACCACGCACGGAATGTATTGCTGTCTGTGAGTATGTGAGTGTTTGTTGCTTGCAGAGGTTTTTTGGGCTCGAGGAGGGCCGCTTCTCAGGTTGCCGCCATGGCGCGCTCCACGGCGCTGCTGAAGGCGGCAGTGGTGGCCTGCGCGCTGCTGGCCTTGAACCAGGCCTTCGTGGCGCCGGGTTCTAGCCCGAAGCTGCGAGGTCAGGAGGCAGCGGTGGCCGGTGCCGTGCTGGCCGGACTCCCGGCCGCGCCTGCCCTGGCAACGGACCAGGCATCGGATGCCATCAGCCAGCAGGAGGCCATCCTGATCTTCCTCCCGATCTTGTTCGTGTGGGTGCTGTTCTTGGACTGGGAGGGCAAGCAGCCATCGGCCGATGACGTGACGGGCTATGGCTACATGGGCAAGACCATCGATGGCACGACCCCGGACCAGCCCACGTACTTCCGCCGCAGCCCTGAGAACGGATAGGTGCAGACAGGTGATGCCGGGCACACGTTTGCAAGGGAGGTTCCTGACAAGAAGCCTCTTGGAATTGCATCGCCACGAGTCGCTTGATTCTTGCTGTGAGTTGCGAGAAAAGGATCACGAAGGGGTCTCTTTATCAAGTTGCTTACAGGAAGTCTGATGTAGTTGGAGTCCAACATGTCGCACATCTACTGCAGCTAAAAACCACGCACAGAATGTAGTGCTGTCTGTGAGTATTGTGAGTGTCTGCTGCTTGCAGAAGTTTTTTGGGCTTGAGGAGGGCCTCTTCTCAGGTTGCCGCCATGGCGCGCTCCACGGCGCTGCTGAAGGCGGCAGTGGTGGCCTGCGCGCTGCTGGCCTTGAACCAGGCTTTCGTGGCGCCGGGTTCTAGCCCGAAGCTGCGAGGTCAGGAGGCAGCGGTGGCCGGTGCCGTGCTGGCCGGACTCCCGGCCACGCCTGCCCTGGCAACGGACCAGGCATCGGATGCCATCAGCCAGCAGGAGGCCATCCTGATCTTCCTCCCGATCTTGTTCGTGTGGGTGCTGTTCTTGGACTGGGAGGGCAAGCAGCCATCCGCTGACGACGTGACGGGCTATGGCTACATGGGCAAGACCATCGACGGCACGACCCCGGACCAGCCCACGTACTTCCGCCGCAGCCCTGAGAACGGATAGGCCCTAGGCACAGAGGACTTTGACACCAGTCATCGCACGTTCTCCAAAGAAGTTCCTGCCCTACAGAGGCCTTGCTTTGGGAAATGGTTCTCGTGGCAGTTAGATAGTGGCAGTCGTAATTTTGCTCCAGTCTTTCTGATTTGATGTTGTCACAAGTAACATACTGCGAGAGTTTAAGATCAGACAGAGGCAGTTCATTGCAGACCTGCTTCATTCTGCCTTGCCAAATGCAGTTCTAACCCATGTAATTCTATCACTTCTGCACGTGAAAAGCACAGCCAACAGCATGCCACTATGACTTCTGAACCCGAAGAGGCTATGCATCGTGCCGTTTCCGTCCCCAATCCTCTTTATTGCCTAGCCTTGTTGGGATCAGTTTAGGAGCTGCAAGATGCATCTTGTGGCCCTTACGGCGCTGCCGATCTTCGTTTCCATGAGTTGGCACAAAGGTTTTTCTGCCTGTGTCCGCAAGTCGTGTGACAAAAGCCTCACAGGGGCAAGCTCTTCTGGAGTTTGTTCCGGGTCTTCCGGTCGTCTGGCACCCCCGCATCTCACAGTGTCTTGCAGCCGCGCACCCATGCATTCCTACGGGGAATGCTTCCCTCACTCATCCCGCCCCCTTGTTGGGTCCAGGTCCTCCGCGTGCGGGAAATTGCGCCACGCTCCTCGGGTCTCTTTGAACACGACACTTTTTGCAGGTGGGCTCGTCAGGGTCTGCCGTAAGGACCACGCTGATGCTTCCAACGCCAGCTCTCCCCACCATTGCGCAGCTGTTTCCCTGGTCAACTTCCCCCATTCACGTTTGTTTCATCTCCCCTCGCTAAAGAGCTGGATGTTGTCACCTACCCTCTGGAACGTGTTCAAGTAGATGGCGCCTGAGGAAGGCTGGGTTGTCCACCCTGGTCGGCTCCAAGCTCTCTCGTCCGGAAGATTCGGCCGTTGCCGAACAACAGCACCGCAAGACCCATTGGATGCAAAGAAGCGCTGGCGTTTAGCTTCTTGTGTGTTGTGCGCGTTGCGAGTTCACTTGTCATTGTCCGGAAGCGCGTCCTGTAGGATAATTGCAAACGCTTGCGCGCGCCGCCTCGGCAGCCAGGCTGGCCCAATGTGAAGCGTAGCATGCGCAACGGTGCTGAGAAATCCAAGGGGGGCTTCAAGGGGAGGGTTCTTTGGGGTGTTCTGGGAGGAGCCCACAGCCGGGAACACCCCGCGGCGACGCGGCATCGGATTTTGACCACGGAGGGGGGTGGGGGGTGTGAAAGTTTCTGCTTGTTCTAGATGCTTCTCGGCTGGAAGCCGACAGGTCGCACCGGCGACTTTGCCCCCCGAAACTTTCATGAGCGACTAGCGAGAGAATCGATTTCGCACCATGAGGTGCCGAAGTTTGTTGTCGCAGACAGTAAGAGCAAGTAAGAGCAAGAATGCCACACAATATATTTGCATAGAAGATCGACAATCCTTCCTCACAGTGAATGTGAAAGTTGTGGCATATGCCTCATCAGCGAGAGCAGCAGCCATATGACAGAGCTGACTCGGCCAGATGTCAGCATCGAAGACAGCACCCATGCCCTGCTGTCCGCAAAGGTGCGCATGGTCCTGATACAAATCCCACTCCCAAGTCTGAGTGTCGTGAGCACATGTGTTTGCGGCTGCCAGAGGTTTTTATTGAGGCTCGAGGAGGGCCGCTTCTCAGGTTGCCGCCATGGCGCGCTCCACGGCGCTGCTGAAGGCGGCAGTGGTGGCCTGCGCGCTGCTGGCCTTGAACCAGGCCTTCGTGGCTCCCGGTTCTAGCCCGAAGCTGCGAGGTCAGGAGGCAGCGGTGGCCGGTGCTGTGCTGGCCGGACTCCCGGCCACGCCTGCCCTGGCAACGGACCAGGCATCGGATGCCATCAGCCAGCAGGAGGCCATCCTGATCTTCCTCCCGATCTTGTTCGTGTGGGTGCTGTTCTTGGACTGGGAGGGCAAGCAGCCATCCGCTGACGACGTGACGGGCTATGGCTACATGGGCAAGACCATCGATGGCACGACCCCGGACCAGCCCACGTACTTCCGCCGCAGCCCTGAGAACGGATAGATCGTAGCTAGCTTCTAGCTGTTGCGATTGCTTGTAGGATCTCGGTGCTTTCGCATGTGCAGCTCAGAAGAAGTCGAGACAATGGGGCTGGGGTCGAGTGTTGCTTTGAAGTCATCCCCATCACGAAGAGTAAGAAGACGAGTCCCTTGCCTAATGCTACCCACGAACCGCCAACAGCAGCTGCTCGCGTAGTGCCCCCAAATCTTGTACAATATTGTGACCAGTACCATTGATCAGCCACCGTCCGTAACTACTTCCACAACAACGACGACTGCAGTTGTGCTGGAGACTTATGTTTTTCTCATGTTGTTAGGCAGCCAGGCCTTCTTTTCGTTCGGCGGCTGCAATGGCTATGCATGACCCGATATGGCGGTTGGCTGTGTGTGCGAGTTCTTGTTTCATGCTCGCGTGATGCTACTTATTGTAACATTTACATTTTTCTGATTTTGTTGAGGCAGAAGCCACCTTTGGACAGAATCTCTGGTGATTAAAAGTATGCAGTGATGCCCAACGAGATGCCTAGGTGTGTCGTAAATCCTAATCCCCTATACAGTCCAGCGATGGGAACGGCTCACTGCGATGACTAGGCACGTGAGATCCTTTGACGGTTTCGCAAAACAGAGCGCCGCGGCTACACTGGGCCATGTTACCTGGCAGAGCGCCTCAGATCTTGGGCGAAGACATTCCGACAACAGGCATCGTACCGCCTGCGTTGAACAAACGCGCGTTGGCGACTCCATCTGCAGCATCGCTTTGATTATTCCTGGAATTCTCCAACTCTGCTTAGCAGCAGATCACAGAGGCGAGGTACCTCAGTGGCACGTTTCATGGAATTTGGCTTGAGACACCGCAAGACTTTGTAGTAATAGCAGGTTTCGGGGCCCAAAGCGGCCCGAACTACGAATGCGATCCCTCACGCCATCTCTGGGGTTCCAGCAGGTTTTCCACGACGCGCAGCGATCCCGAAGTGGAAAAGGTAGGGAGGACACGAGGCTCAAGGTGGCTTCGTTTCCGGAGTCACTTCCAGTACGTGGGCCACGTACGCCGCCGCACGCCTTACTCCCCAGTGTAGGCCCGCTTTCTTTCTTGAGCGCACACGTGACGGACTAGTTCGGGGGCGAACGTCGTTGAGCTGTGTTCACGTATGTTGCTGAAGCGCGTGCTCAGGCGCAATGCTGAAGCATGTGGTTGACACTGCTCGGACGCAAAAGCATGGCCCCCGAAGCGTTGGAGCAACGCCTCCTGCACCGGCGCCGACAAGTAGCTATCCGGCTCGCAAAGCTGACGTGCCTCCCACCCGATGTGGACGAGAGGCATTTGGCAGCGCCGCATGCTCGATGCGCGCGATGAGGTCAGGCAGGTGGCGCAGATGTAATCACATGTACCGGCGCCAACTCCACGGCGTGCGAGACGGCCACGGTCAGGACGTGCACGGCGACTGCCAACGCGCCAAGGCTGGGGATGCGAGGTCGGCCGCCGTGGCATGCAACAACGGGACGTAAAGCCAGGAATTGGTTATGTCACGGACGTCACCTTGGGGCGGGCCCTCGAAAGCCAAAGGACGCTGCA